CCCCCCAAAATCAATGCATACCAAGTTTCATCCGAATCTAGTTACTTTTCGCATTTTATGCCGCTATATTGGATCCGCCATTTTGAAATTTTAAACTCTGACGTGAAATTTGAAATCAACGACCCCAAAAACCTCCCTTCGACGCATTAGGATCACGGAAGGATTTAATTCGCCCGACAATCGTACCGTTTCATTGGAATGTGGTACTGAAAAATTAAAAAATTATTTAATTTCCGTTTAATCCATTTGCTCGTCGACCCGTCGACGCGCCCCGGTTGAATTCTAATCAAATTTTCATTTCAACGCGAACCGAACTGCACCGAATTGCGGCGAACAAGGAAAAAGAGAGCATTTTCGGCGAGCATCGAAAGTTGCTATCGTCGAATTCCGATAATCGCAACGAATGAGTTTCCATTCGATGTTGATTTCCGCTCGAGCTGTAAGGTCCACGAAACGAGTATGCGATAGCTGTCATTTACAGTCGCCTCGGACATCCAGCTGAATGTGATACGAGGTCGGTATAATTAATCCTTCGCGAACAAAGCCTGGCGTTACAGTGTCCCGCAAGTTGCGACGGTAAATTACTCGTCAAGTCGCGCAAAGAGCATCTCTGTTAACCCCGGCGTTCCGTACCGTAACCGAAATTACTCGCAGCCTCGCGAGGACTGTAAACGTTGAAATATCCTCGAAACGAATGACGAGCGCCTTAATGAAACGTCCGTATCGCTAAATAAGATTCCCGTGTTTCGTTCGTGGCTCTGTGATTTTTCTGTCGACCCCGCCCGTCCCGCTTAATCGCGAAACGTAGGAGAAGCGGAATTAGGACACCGCGGAGAACGATGAGGAGGTACGGATGATCCGTTTGCGAGAGTTACAAGCGCAATATAGCCCGCTCAAAGGGATCAGCCGCGGAGAGATGACTTCTTTCGCCTGGATTAGGTGCCCGCCGACACTGGTATCCGAACCAGGTCAAACTCCTAGGGGACAATGTAATCTGTTGAGGGGAAAGGAAATAAAAGCAATTGGGAGGTTCCTTTAGGGTCTGCTAATTAGACTCATCGGTAAGGCTCCGACAGACTTCATCTCGGGGACAAGCTTTGGACGCGGAAGGATTCTCTGTTTGATAGAATTTCGTGCTACGGTGTGATGGAAATTTATTTGCCTGGAGGTTTCCTCGACTAGTATTACGACGTCCCTTAAATTCGTGCTCCAAATTGTGTTTATATTTAATAAGAAACTACAGAAACCTTACAGCAATGGTATAATGACTTTGCGTTATACCTGTCTTTTAATATGAATCAACGCGAACTTGCTCCGTGAACCCAGTGTCAAATTAAAAGTAGCCAAAATAAAGATTCATCCTGCTAAAAATATGAAAATTTTCACTAAACATGGACCTGACCAGTTTTCTATAAGTCGTCTAAAACGTTCCTCCCATAATTACCGCTCTAATCACCGCGTGGAATCCATCTTCCCATCTTAGCGTGGGCTGCTCCACGACAGTCTACAGGTAACCGAATCCGTCAGACGTGCGGAAGCATGTCGGTCCATTAATTCGTGCATCGAATGCAGGAACCCGCGCGATTTCCCGCCGCGCGCGGCTTGCCCTTAATGGAGCACCGGTTATCGGTTAAATTTCCAATAAGACTCCGGGTGTGCCCTGGGAATCGTTCCGCGGCTCGGGACAGCACGTGCGCGCGAACGGGACCGGAAGATAGTTTTGACGCTTGCTTACAGTGCCGTCGGGGCTTCGTGGTAACCGTAATGTGCCAATAAAAATGCAAAGTGCGACAGCCCTTCTTCGACTGCTGGGGAAGACACTCCCGTTCGCCACGCGCACAGGTTCGCGCGGGTTGGTCCTCCCTTCGAGGTTGTGTAGGGTAGTTTGGAGTCAGACGGATTGGATATTCGAGATTTCTTCGGGAGGGACCTATTAGACGTATTGATTTTTCAATTTGTGTAATCATGTAGTAATGTTTTGGGGAGTTACAGGAATTTTTCGGGATTTGAATTGCTGATTTTGTTAAAATAATGGAGGGTCAAAGCGCTTGGCTAGTTAGGAGCTTCATTAACTGAGTATACTTTGAGATTTGTGGACAGTTGTAACAATTATTCCAACTGCCAAGAATAAGAAAATTGTAAAATTAACGAAATTGCAACATCCCTAAAATAAAATTCGATATTTAGTCGCTTCCCCAAGCAGCGAGAGAAGCTTTTTCTAAAAGTAATTGTTTCAAAATTGATTTTTCCTTCAGCTTTCAATTTTCTTGTAAAAATATCACTGGGTAGGGTTCTGCGTACTCTTAATTCGACGCTGCCTCAGCGTTCCTCTTCTGAAGGGACGGGTTCGCGCGTTCAGATTGAATGCTCTTCTCGCGTGACGGTGCTCGAGAGACGCTTCGCGAGAGTGGCTGCGAAATAAGCATCATGAGTGGTGCGACAATGCTACTCGCAGTTTTTTCCTCATTCGGGGACCTTGCACGAGAGGCAAAAGGGCGAGATCGTAGGGAAATTATGAACTTCGTTTGAGACAGGAATGGCTGGTGTAAGAGAAAGCGAGGTTTTGAGGAATTATTCCTCAATGTTCTTTAAAAGAATGATAAAAATATAAATTTCACGTGAAACTATTAGATTTCCTCGATATTCCATATTGTAACCTATAAATTTACTTGGTCTCTTTCAGAGCCCGACGCAATGTATTATCAGCATCGACGTTGAAACGTTTGTTAATCGAACCGTGGCGTCGATTAGTGTTCAGCTCTCATTGGTTTCCCTGTGATGATCAAAGAAAATTGACAATATTATTTCTAAAGCGAATAAACTGACGCCAGTGGAGCGTCTCCTCGCGAGCGTAGCTAGGGAATCGTTAAAAATGCCTCGGCACAGACAACGGCTCGTTCTGTTAGCGAAACCGATTAAATGGTAATCGAGCTGCGTGCGCGCCGATTCGTCCGGAAGGTAATACATCAATCAACGGTTCAATTAGCCGAAAAACTGGAATATGGTTATCTGCAACGATTATCCTGCCGTCTCCCATAACGATCGGCTACGACGTAAATTCGAATGAACAGTACTAAAATTACAAAAAGAAATGGAAACGTTAAGGGGATGTTAAATTAGAATCGAAGTCCTCGGAGGCTTCAAAGGTTTTGTAAGTATACTGGATGAACACCACAATCTAATAATGTCTTAGACTCTCTTTTCTATGCTCTGTATAGAAAATTAGTCTAATGCAGTAATCCGTGAACTTAACACAGTGGAAGAGGACACAGTTGATATCGCACCCAAATCTACGCCCGACTCCAAGGTACCACGAAGCTGCAACACCTGTGCAAAAACTCACGGACGACCTTGATAAGACGAGTTCACGGTGAATTGAATGCGTTTTTGTGAATCGTTACGAATTTGGTTCGCGGAACTGTGCTTTAACCACGGGTAGGACTGAGCTAGGGAATTTTATGGTTCACCCCTGGAGCAGTGATTTTCTTCAGGGAAATAGTTGCCAGGAAATAATGGGGAATATATTAAGCGATTTTACGACACTTCTGATGAGTTGATTAATGGCTTTCGTCGTCGTAAATAGGTGAATCATTTTCACTGTTGGGGTAAATTGAAGGCTGCCTTATGAGAGGGACCGGTGGGCGCTTTATGGCAACGACACTTGAGTTTCATTCAATGTGTGTTAGTTTTATTTATTTGGAGTTCATCGAATAGGTTCACGTAGTTAAATGGAAAACTTGCAAAATATTTTTGTAGATGCTCGACTTCTTTCGAAAGGAGGGTACGAATTTTCACATAAGCATGTGGAATATTTTTTTTCGCTGCATTTTAAATTCATAATTTATTATTTCAAGCATATCAATTCTCATTCACAACGAAGATGCCTTCCCAATTAAATAAAATCCATTCATTTCACCCCCAGTAAATCAAAATTGATCACGTAGCCCAGTCCCCTTTTAGATCCACTCACATCCTCGCACTTACAACGTTTACAACCTCCTCTCCCCCCAAAACTGTAGCAAACTCTTCCAATCGCTAATAAACATTCGTCCCCAATCAAATCGACTGCTCTGGCCTAGCCACTCCACCGGTACACCAACTACCCGCAAGTTTTCCAAGTCGCGAAAGTAGCATCGTTCGCGATCACATATAAAAGAAGCGAAGTGGAAGAAGAGGTAGATCCAGGCTCAAGGAAACTAGAAGTTCTTGAAGGACGGTCTGTGCATGAAACGGACGTTAATTAAGGGAGAGGCAAGGAACTAAGACGGCCGTCTCCGTTTCGCATTCGTCGTCGTCGCAGGGCAGCTGCGAGCAACACACCCCTGGATCTCCTCTTTTTCTTCGCGGTTCCTTGGCGGCGTTGCTTGGTTACTTTCTTTATCGCGGCGGTGCCTTTGCGACCCGCGAGTCGGGCATGGTTCGTTATACCGGCGCGGAACAAGCTGGAATAATAATATAAAAGTGCCCGGAGTACGGATTCCTGGGGCGCGGTGCGCCGATGCCGTACCAGCCGAGGGGAAACGAGCAATGACGATAA